CACATGTTTCGAATGACGATGCTACAGTTCCATGCGTCGACTCAGTTTATTTTGCCATGTATTACTCCATGTAATGTTCCATGTGTCGAAATAAATTACTTACCACTGTTTTTAAAATCCATAGTGAATGGAAGTTGTTAGACCTTCGCAAACGAAAGTCCTCTGACATCTCTCGTACATACCGGTATACAGAAGTCAGGAGGTCAACCATACGCATGAACAGTAGGCGGGTCGATTCCAGTTTCAATAGAAATGAGATTGTATTAGTTGCATTATGGCTTGCTACCGTGAAGCACGAAGTGAAGGATGCGGAAGCGTAACAGCGTTAGACCAATCGGAGTTACGTCCAGCGACACACTCTTGTCTACATATCGCCAAAACCTCAACATTACGTAGAATCCGCAGTTGTATCCCTCTGTCTGGATCGGTCCATTGACGGACACAACTTTGAAGTCGTCGCTGAGCGTAGTAGCCAGATCCCACGACATGCGGTCCAGTACGTCCTTGTACGTCTTCAGGTTCATTGAGTCGTAGTACAGGACATTGTTCTGCTTGCCATCCACGATCATTGCACACCAATGCATGTTCCCAAAATTTACAGGAATGAGCAGTACATCCGCTTCAGTGAGTAGTTCCTGGACCTTTGTCTTCATTTTTTCACTCATAGATTTCTTCTTTTTTGACGCCGAGGCTGCCTCGACACCGACGATGCGAACGCCGGTGCCCGTCCTGTACAATCTCGCGCAAAAAGCCAAAATCAGCGCATCATTAGCCCATTGGGGCGGCTTGAGACGGTACAGCATCGCGTAGTGGTAATCGTTGCCGTCAATTGGGATGGTATCTTGGGGATAGGCGCGAGCAATGGCCTCTGCCATGCTCTGAAGTGTCGATTGTTGTGCTGCTGGTATGGCGCTGGCTGCATCCTGTGTTAACCATTTGGTAAACGCCATTCCATCATCACACGAACGCTTCACGTTTGCTAAGTATGCCATGGCCTCAATCTGTTCGCGTGAAAATGT